GCACTCCATCTGGGAATGTTAAATGCTGGTGCTCAGCTACACCTGACCGGGCTAGCTAAGGTCCATACTAAGCTCTCCTACCTAAAATCCCTATAGGAAGGACACAAATAAAACTTCTGTGAGATTCTCTAGCTTTTTTTAACTAAAGAAGTGGAGGTGGCCACTTACCATGAAGCAGCAGGGTATTAAATCCAGGAAGCATCAGGAGGGCCATAGATTCTTGCTTCTCCCTCCCAGCCCCACCTATGTTCTGACTTGTTATCTAACTTTCCTTCTGCTGGGTCTCTTACCTGCTACATTTGGCATTCACTATATTCTTGATCTTCAAGGTTTCATTTGACAGAATGAAAAGCAGGAAGGGGTAAATGCCACCATCCCATTCACATGATTCATATTACTCTGAAGCACATTTCCACACCTGCTTTCATATGATTCACCTGAAGACACTTAAAGACACACTAGAAAAAGTATTCTTATAGGCAAGAAAGTAGCTGCTTCATGTTGGCCTGCACTTTCCTTTGGTGTAGGGTACCTACATTAGCCACTTTGTGTGACTGTCATCTCCTGTGCAAGATGGCCAAAGGCTGATTTTGCAGATCAGCCGCTGAACTTCTGTGAAAAAGAAAGAAAAAGAGTTAGGCTTCCTAGTTAGTTTTCTGGGATGCATGAAGAAAGCCTTTGCTGGAGCTGGTAACAGCTCATCACCACCAGCAGGGCTGCTCACAATGCTTTCTCCCAGACAGCTCTGGGGGTGGCTGGATCCCTTCATGGGATGACATAATTCACTAAACCTGCAAAAAGCTATACCTGCCAAGGGTGTCGGGGGAGGGGGGTGGTGGTGGAATCTTTCTGGCATTTTAGGAAGTTGAACTGCCTCAGCAGAGGGCAGTGATGCCAGAACTGCCACAAGAGAGGGAGGGGCTCGTGACCGTGGGGTGAGGGAGAAGGGCCTCCACATTTGGCAGCAGGGAAGCATCATGCTGTTTTGGCTGTCCATGGAAGCACAGTCTGAGCCTCCTGCCAAATGACTGGATGGCCAGGCCAGAGGCAAGCAAAGCTGCAGTGCTCCCAGGCACTCCCTGCTGAAGCTGGCACTGTGCCTGGCACCCCAGGGTGTTAACTGGGGCAGGGAAACAGCACAGCTGGCTGGACAGCAGGGCAAAGGGACACTTGCCAGCTGGGGCAGAGCTCCAGGGATGTCCCTCACACAGCTAGGAGAGACAGGTCTATGTCCTGCAAAAGAGCATCAGCCTCATTGGGGGAAACCCTCATGATGTCCTAGACTAGATAACCACCCTTGCCTTCTGCTTGGAGTACAGCAATAAGGGGGTATGTGTCCTACCTATCTGGCAGAAGAAGGACCTGACGCTGGGTATCCTGCCACCACAGAGGGGTTAGACTGAGGTTAAATCTTTATTTCCACCAGCTGCACTACTTGCTTGGTTTTTTGTTTTTGTTTTTTTTTTTTGTGGTCGGGGGACGACTGAGGCTTCTCAAAGGACATTTGTGAAAGCTGTTATTTGTGGATGCCATCAGGGCTTAAGCATGAGCTGGGTATCTACGGACTGAGCTCAGGAAGGGAAGGGAAAAAAAAAAGAAGAAAGAGAAAGCAGAGGCAGTCCCAGGCATGCCCAGGAGCAGACCTTTGGGCACCTCAGGAATTTTACTGGCAGGAACATAGGCACTTGCAGACTTCAGACGCCTCCAGGGTTAGGCAGTAGCTGAACAGGGGTTTTGAGGATCTAAATATTGGCTGCAAATGCCTATGAGACAGCTTACATGCCTAAACCTTTTTTTGTGGCTCTAGCCCTAAACTAATATTATGGAAAATACCAACAATTATTAGGGACTTCTTATCAGATTGGATACATATTTCCTTTACATAACTTTACCATGGCCTCATTTATGTGGTGCTTAGAAAGGATGAATACCTGTTCTGCATGAGTAATTATGCCAAAGGCTTGTGTGAGGGAGGTAGTTTATGACTGCTGAATAAGGCCAGCTATGTTTACCTATACAGCTTCATCACTTAAACTAAAAATTGGTCTTACCGCTAAATCTCCCTCATTGCTTCATTTACCTGATTGCAAACAGATCCCAGAATATGCAGTTGCACTAAGATGATTGATGCCAAGATGCTGCACTGAAAAGGAAGAATTCTTTTAAGTGTTATCATGACCATGAGCACAAGCAAAGCCACGTCACGTGACAAAATGTAAATAGAGCATTTCTTAGAAAAGCCATTTATTTGCCTCCATGATTTATTATTCAGTGACATATAGGGTATTTTTTCTTTGTTACTGGCACTCATGTTCATAATAACAAGGTACTTGACTTGAAGGTATTTGGCCAACCTTTCCAAAGTGCTATGTAAGCAGTAATCAGAGAGAGCTAGGCTTGTGAGTCAACAAATTGCTCTCCCATGCTGATCAAACAGTCTTGGCATCTCTATTAAAAAAAAACCAAAACCAGATTTTGGACTGGCTTACCCAGTTTTCTCTCTAAAATTTTTTATTGTATTTGCATTTGGCAGAGTCCAGGCTCAACATAACCAAAGGTGACAGTTGTTTTATTAATAATATTTTACGTGTGATTTTCATTTACATATAGAAGGATATATGAGATAGCCAGTTAGCCTCCAAAGTTCTTGTTGGCATAATTTGGGTTTCATTTGCTCAACCTAGAGGCAAATGCTTCTCTCGTTTTACACCATACCTCTGCAGCCTGCAGTAGAAAACAGTCTAATACTCGGGTCAAAGTTAGTCAGCTCAGTAGAGTTGAGGTTTATTATGAAAAGCTTTCATTCCAACCTACTTCAAGTTATTACTATTAAAGCAAGTAGCAATCAGATATACTGCACAAGCTACTGGCATTATCGGAGGGGAGAACTCAAATCTAAGTGGGATTTATGCTCAGTTTCCATCATCTATGCCCATCATATGTGCCTACAAACCCAGGTCCTGAATACAAAATATACACCCATGCTTAATCTTGCTACTTCACTTGTAAATTAATGCCTTAAAATGAAATACCTGTAGTTGTGTATCATTTCACTGCTTCTGTGTGCAAAGTGAGTAGGGCTGCATGAATAATAGCATTTATTTTCACTGTGATTGCTGAATTCAAAATCTTTTGGAAGCTTGCGTTAAACTGGTGGAACTCTCCTCTCTTTCCTCCTCTTAATTTTTTTCTTCCATGAAACAAAAAAAGAGGAAACCTTATGTGCATTGAAAAGCTCCTTCTGACCCCCAAAATGAAACACTTCATTTTTAGACACATATAGTAAAAGCAAAGGAAATTAAAAGGCTAGATTTCCTAAAGCAAGAAGGGGTGTTCTCCACCTTCTTATTCCGTAGCCAGTAGGCAAAAGATAAATTTTTTGGTTTCCTGAGGTCTTTGAAATGGCTATCTCCCTTCCCTGGAGATGCCACTCACCATCCCTCAGCTTAAGGGGGACAACCAGGCTGTGACTTTACATGCAGCTTGCCTGCTGTGCAGCTTTCCATGTTGCCTGTTTTGTGCTGCCCCAGGCATGGGAGCAACTCACAGGAAAATGAGGTGAGGTGTCACTGCCTGAACCAGATGCCTCCAAAGTAGCGGGTTATCCTGCTGCAGACAAGGTGCTCCCCTAAGGTACAGCCCTGCAAGTGAAAGCTCTTCCAAACACCCTCCTTTTGGTCCTGTTTTGGTTTGTCTGTATAGTAAACCGTTCCCTAAACCCAGGGGCTGCTTATTCTCAGTGAGGGAGCCCTTCCCATCAGGCTACACAGTTATGCTGCCTTTTAACCAAAGGGTTATTTCAGCATTTGGTTTCTACCAAAGCGCTGTTAAAATAGTTTCACTTATTGCAGGACCACAAACATCTGTTAATTATGGGTCTGGGGTTTATTTATTTATTTATTTTAATAGCTAGGTCTTATTGACCTTCACTTAAGCACTTTTGAAAATTTTACCCCATATAAAGACTGCCATGTTGAAAAGTGCTAACAATTACCATCATGGGAGTCTTGGATTCAAAGACAGTTTGCAGACCTCATTAAGCCAATGAGCTCGCCAAGTCCACTCTTTTCAGTTCAATGGAAGCAATACTTAAGTCCTTTCATACAGCAAACCAGCTGCTAGCAATGTAGGCTGCCTGACATGGGCAGGGAAAGCTAAGCTCACCCAGGGAGACTTGTGTGTTTTTCTACCAGAAGACAGTGACTCACAAAGGGAGCTGTGAGAAGAACCCTAAAAAGCAGCAGGGGTTTTTCAGCATAGGGCTGATCAGTGAAGCAGTCAAGATCTCTGAGCTAGACAAAAGTCCCTTGGTTATCTTATGTCACAGGAAAAACTATTTCTGTATAGCATCTGTCAAGAAGCATAGTTAAAGTGATAAATCTTGACTAATGCAGATCAAGACTGGCAAGGTTTTCCTAGCCCAGCTAGGGATGGACTAGCACGCTGCATCACACCATTAAGAATTCTTGTCTTGCTTGCAGAAGAAAAGCAAATTTTGAGAAGTTTCGAGAAAATAAGATAAGCAAAGCCAACTCTTCAAAGAGAGGTAAGGTGCTCTAGGCATTCAACAGATCGAAAAGCCAGACTACATATTTGCATACTAAATATGGAGGTAGGAGAATGCCTCAGGCTAGACAACAGTGTTTCTATACTTTTCAGCTGTGTGTGAAGGGTAGACTACAGGCACCCATATACATCAGTTTGGGTGAAGCAGATCAATCTAACATTACACAGTAATATGCACAGGGCAAGAGTAGTTTAGAAGCTTTCATTCTTAAAGAAGTGAGAAGCATAGTAGCATTGGTATTCTATCAGGGAAATCAGAAATAAGAAGGGAATGGACAGATGCACAAAAGAGTTTAGACTACTGAATTCAGTACTATTTAGGCACTTTTTATCTGTGAGGAAAGAAAAAGTTTTGAAAATACATGACAGGTTTTTATGATCTGATTATTGAGAGATGTCTCTGCCTGAATTAAGATGCAGATGAGACCATATGCTGAAGCAAATAGTATGAATTTTATTTAAAACCCCATCCTTTCCCTTGGTTGTGTCATCCTCAGCTCAGGATGTTTTCAAACAAGTATTTTCAAAGGGTAAGTCCCCTTTCCACTCTACTTGCACTGAAGTTACGAAGATGAAGCCTCACATTAACTCAGTACAATCCCTCAAGGTTTGGCCAAAACCACTCTATTATACTTAGGAATCTCTCTAAATTTGTATCCTACCATACATCCTTGCAAGCGCTAATCCAGTATAGAAACCAGAAGCTGCCCAAACATAATTCCCAGGGGGGATGTAACTGAATACCTCACCGTGGTATGGCCATTAACAAGTTTTATAGAAAGAAGAAAATAATACAAGATTTGCTCTAGAACAAAAATACATGATAAAGTTCCCTGTTGAACATTTTTGAGACATTGTGTCCATATTTAATTTACAGTTTCCTAGTGTTTATCTCTTCAGGTGGAATTTTACATATTAACCATTGGTAGAACACACCCCATTTTGTAATTCCCTTATCTTACTTAAATAGGAGACAGATAGCGACTTCTATATGTGCTCACACCTTGCTAATAGAAAACAGTGATATATTGAAAATTTCCTTATCGCCTTCAGTTTCCACACAGGTGTTCTTGGTGATAAGCTACTGAATGATATAAACAGTGATTTCAGGTAAAAAGTAACCACTGGTCAAGAGGAAAGGGAAAAAAAACCCTACCAAAAATTAAACCAGACTTCCCAAGTAGGATTTGGAACTGAAAATTATCAAATACAAGTGCATAAGTGTGAATTTTTTCCGCTGTGTCTGTGAAGCACAGAATCCCTTGGACTTCCCTTTAGTAATGCTTGGTCTCACTTCTCACAACTTCTCTTCCATTCTGAGATAATCTTGATGGACAATTCACAGATATGATAAGGAACTGTATGATATTCCCTTATTTTTATCCAATGATAATATTCATCTGTCCACTGGCAGGTTTGTCTCCAAGGAGTGTTATCACAGGACAGCTCTTCTACTGTTATTCCTGAACAACAGTGGTAGGAGAGTAATTCTAGAAGAAGAATTACTGAGCTAGCTCTATTGATTTTCAGCCAAACTGTTAGTATTCCTGTGACTGTTCTTTAAGATACAATAGAGATCATTTAAATGTATTTAAACTAGCTAAATTGTGTTGCCGCCTTGTGCAATGAGTATATTGAATCACCTCAGATCCACAGAATATTGTAAAAGTTTATGTTCTACATTGCCTTTGATTATTTTCATTTTTGTATTCCGAAGAAAATTTGTATTCTCTAACCGTTACTGAGTTCTTCCAAATGGACCATAGTGGCCTAAAAAAGAAGCAAATGCACACTTGTTGTAAAAGTGCATGACCAAGTCTTCACACCTGTGAATGTCACAGATTTCTGGACAAGGTCATTAGGGACAAAACTGGAAACCCCAGTATGTGATGACGTTTTTGAAAATCCAGCCTCTCACAGTTTTCCACCATCTGCATTAATTATCCAATAATAGGATCAACTAAGATTAGTAATACATAAGCCCCTTCCTGAAATGTAGAGGAATAAAGTATCAGTTTAACAGAAGCAGGAATTCAAACATACATTTAATTTCACAAGAAACATTCCAAGATTGTCTCTCAGGCTTTCTCCAGAGCAACACAGACTGTGCTCCCTGTCAGAACAGGACTCTGGCTTTGTATTTATTATTGATGTGCCACTAACAGACTTCAGTGACTGCGCACAGCCAGGCAGACATCACCATCACTGGACAAGAGCACCAGACTCCTTAGTCTAAAGGATAGCATTGCCCTTCTCTTATCAATTCCCTTTAAAGTTTCTGCCATCTTACCAGGAATAAAAGGTACTTTCAAAAAATGGTCCTTTTGCTTGAGGGGAAAAAGTATTTTTTTTTTTTTTTTATTTTCTCAGTGGCTAATAGATTATTTCTCTAGGACTAATTGAGTCCTGTTGAGTAAGGAAATCTATCTTTCTTAGATTTTGGAGATATCTTTTTGTGTTTAATGTAAAACATAAACAATGTCAGACCTATCAAATTTCTCTCTTATTTCTGCCTCACATGCTTTCCATAATGTTTTTATGCCCCAATTATGTCTTCAAAGTCTTGGTGTCTACCGAACTTCTGAAACTTGGAGTGAGGCACCTGGTTGATAAGTTTGGTTTGGGGGTTTTGCCTTCCTTTTATCAAAGCCTGACCAACAGTTTAAAAAAAGTAATCGTGAATATTTTCCATAAAGTCAAGTGTTGTCTGAATAGGTTTCTGTAAATCTATGAGAGTTACCAAGTTAAAGGCAGAGATTTCAAAGCCCAGAATGTGTGAATCAGTAATGGTAGGATTCAGCAGATCTCAGGTTTCCAAAGCTTCCAGTTTCTCAATAAGAGGTCCTAGTACATAGGCACAGCATGCCACCACACAGCTGGACAGCATCCTTACCATATCTACTTAGCACATATTCCTTTCTCAAACCCTCTTATAGAGGGTTCTTCACTCAAGGTGGATAGCAGTAGGAGTTTAAACCAAAAGCACCACTGCTGGAACAGTTTTCCAAGGGCAACTGTACAGAATATTCAGTATATCTTGATTATTCCTAAGCATTCTTGATAAGTGTGAGATATGCTTAACACTTCTCAATAAATCTTTTCATAGGAACAAGACCCCATAGGTATAATTTAACATGCATTAACCAAAATGGAGTAAAGCTCTTGAAGTGTCTTTGCATTCTTGAGATCTGTTGCCTTATTTTTATTTGGAGTACCACAAGCAATCACACAGGTATTTTTTGTTCTTGTCGCAGTTCTTGTAACATGAGTGTTGGCTGTGGATTATGTCTCAGACTCCATCACCACCAGTACTGTCTCATGTCATTGACTTTTCCTTATTTTACTCAGTCAGGGTCCAGTTGGATACCATCATGTGTCAGAGTCCACAAGGAGGCATAGGGTCTGAGAGTGGATTCTCATGAGAAAGACAGCAATGTGAACAGGAAATGTCCCATCAGGAATCCTTTCTTGGGACAGGCTCCTGTGGAAAAGAACAAATCCTTATTGTCACTGTTGCAGCTTTAACTTTATATTCTTCTGCTCATCCTTTGATTCATTCTCTCTCCCCCCCTCTATTCCCATCTGACGGGTGGGAAACAGGATATTTTGTGAAATTCTTTCCTTCCTGTGTGGGCCTACATGGCATCTTTAATTAGCAACTCTCTGCAATGGAAGTGAACAATTAGAAAGCACAACTGTCCTGCTGAGGAGATCATAATACAGTTGCTTTTTGAACAGGTATTTAAGGCATCACTTTCTGTCATTTACGAAGATCATTGATGTTATTATTTAAAAATATCGCACACCAAAAAAAAATTTAAAACACTTCCTTACATAATGAGTGGTGAGGAAGAGCTTTACAAACATTGTCTCTCTTTGTGTCCCCCTGGAGAAACTGTGATGCAAAAGAGTGATGGGAAGGAGACCTCTGCCTGCTTCCATGGACAGAGCTCCAGCCTGCTGGAACATGCCATTTCACCTGGAATGAGTAGGAACACTTGTTTCATTAATAACTTGACCCAGAAGCTGATCAGAGTGATGTTTCCATCCACAGACACCCAGTGTGGTTGAAAAGATTTTTCTGAGGGTGGGATTTGACACTATGGAGGTACAGACAGCAGTGCTGCTTTGGAAGGAGATCAAAATAAAGACAAGCCTGGCACACTCAGAGGACCTGAAACTGATCCTTCCTTACCTAGTTTCATAGATAGGTAGTTGTAAAATGCTATTAAGTCACATCTGGCAGGACTGTCCTTAAACACCAGTAGTCCAAGTAATAGCACTCAACTTCTGGATGTCCTATAGGGTTGACCTATCCCTCTCTCCCAGACCCACCATGCTGAAATTTTCTTTTCCCACTGGTATGACTGCACAGCCCCAGAGGACATTAAGATGATCCTTCTGTCTGATTTTCTTTTTTTTTCCTTTGTTTTTTTTATTAGTTTGAATATCTGATATTTTACCTGGCATCTGGGAGAACTCATTTAGAACACTACAGAGCAGCATACACTCATTTTGTGAAAACAAACAGTAACCACACAAGAAGTTAGATGAGGGAAAAACCAGGATCTCTGAGCCACTATGGCATTCTAAAATTTGGGGCTATGAACTAAGAGAACTGCAGAACAAAGTACAGGATTGTGCTATTACTAAAATATCTGTCATATCCCAAAAGTGTCTGAAGGTTGGTGTGCAGACATGTGTAGGATCTCACCAGGCTGTACATCAGATCTGAGAAGAGTCTCACAGATAGAAATAAGATTTTTTTTTCATGCTGAGCCTGGGCTTAAATCTCCCAACCACTCTCTCATGTTGTCACAGCAACGGGTTTGTCCACAGCCACTTCACAATATAAAGCAACTGGAGGCACTGCCTCCTGATTTTCATACAGATCTAATCATGAAACAAGAATGTGCTTGGTCATATTCATACTGGGACTGTGTGTCCTAAGCGAAGTTTGTGCACCACGATAAATTGGCTTGCAGTTGAAAATAGAAACTGCTATGAGTAATGACTGAACCTGTAACTCTGAGCAAAGATTAGTGTGTGAATATTGCTAATGGCATTAAGTGTCTTTATCACATCTTGTAAAGTGTTATCAATCAAACTACAGGTGTTAAGCAGGTAAAAGCTCTAGTTTGAGGCAATAGATAAGAACTTTTCTCTGGAATCTTAAGCACTGTTTCCTACTAAAGCTCTCCGGAGAAAAAGTGTCAGGATATCAAAGGGAAAAGGAAAGATTTTTTTTTTTTAGGCGTTGGGGCAGAAGAGGGAGGGGATTTTGTAGGCAGTTTTAGGAGAAGCGTTATTGACCTATCACAACGACTTCAAATACCAGTCTCTTCTCACCATCAGATGTTTTTTATATTTACCATAGAATCTGCCTTCTTTTTTTTATAAATAACAATTTGCTAATAATATTAACAGCTATGCCTTGTCAACTTGTGAAGTACATATGGAAAGAGAAATAAGCATATTTGAGCCATGTAGCTTTACCATATACCATAGGCACCCAAAAAAATGGGTGGCATTGGTCCATTACATTGGACCTTGTTTGATGTCCTGGGATCTAATGCACATCATTTGGCTTGCTCCCAGCAAGAGTTATGCATATTTAATACATAGAAGGTAAAGAAATCAATTTCAAGGCTATAACTGAAAGCCACTATAAAATTGCACTATTACTGCTATGCTGTAAATTACATGTTATTGATTCCTCCAGCCTCTTTTACAAGCAAGGTGATTGGTGGATTGGGGCCTCAGCCCTTTATATCTGCATTCAGACTCCACTTGAGGAATCTGGTGGCCTTACTTTGAGCCTCCAATTGGGTACATTATAAACCCACCAGCCTGCTTAGGGCTCCTGCAAAAGCAGGCTCTGCAGAAAGGGCTGAGGTACCTCCACAGAGCCACACAAAGAAACTCTCAGAGCTGGACCCACATTCTCTTTTAAAATGCATATATAATCCTCCCTGCAAGGACAGAAATAGCTGCATTTATAGGAAGGAGAAATAAGATCCCTATACCTGGTTTTAGGATGAACCACGAGTTTGTATTTTTGAGAGCTGAAAATTCGTAACTCAGAGTGACTAAATTTTTTTTCTGAAATGAACATTTTTTTCTGAAACAACTTTATACTTTCTTCCTAATCCAAGAAAGAGAGGGAATAACCAAAAGAAAGATGTACGTAAGAGTTACGTGTCCTAAACAACTTAACACCAGGGGGAGAAGTAAAAGCCCTTTTTACTTCTGTAGTTAGTCAGAGGCTTCAACTTGTATTTTAAGACAGACAAGCACTTTGATAGTCATTTTAAAATCTGGGAAGAGAGGTAGGGATGTACCCAGGGACATTACTTGGGGCAGGCACCAGAAAGCAGAGGCCAGAAACTTGGCTCTACAGTTCCAGTTTTGAGTTCCAGTTGCCCGACCAGAACTCTAAACCATGGAAACCGCAAGCCAAAGCCAATCATGAAAACAAACAAACCCCAAAACATTAAAAAATGTGCTAGGTTAAAGCTCTTCAAAATTCTGTGCATATAAACTGATATTGAACTATCTACCTCCTAACACAAACCACTGCAGATGAAACAAAGCCAATCTCCTCATACACATTTTTAAATGAGGTGATTTTTCAGAATTTCAGCCAGAACTTGAGTGTACTGTAGATTCAGTTAAAACTTTTTTAATAGTTATCTCATATTGCAGTGATCATCCCCTATTGCCCCTCAACTATCACACAGAGTGTTGTGGTATTTTTCTGTCTAATGGTATAAGTCTATTCAGAAAGGCAACACCCTGAGAAAGCTGAGAATTTTTTTTGTGTCCAAACTGACAGTGGGTCAAAAATCAAACCCTGACTCTGAGCCCTTTGGATGTTGGAGACAATAGCCCCAGACTTGTCAACCCAGTGTACAGCTGTACCATGGTGTGGTCCAGATATGGACCAGATGCCCAGCTACAGCATTAAGAAATACATGCCAGTTAATTTACTCCATTTAGTACCCGAACCTAACAGTAGTAGTTCAGGCCCTGAACTGAATAGTGCAATCTCAGTTACCAAGATTGACTGATTGGGGTAATTGAAGTGATCTTACTTAACATTTGCCTTAAATGATCTAGCAGTCTGATTCAGATAAGATTTCAAACAGTCTCAGTGCTTTTGATCTCAAATTACCTTCAGGATTAACTCAAGCTTGGTTCAGACACAGAAAAAAAAAATCTCTCAATTATATCTTACACCGTAACCATGCTCAAGCCCTCTTCCCAATTCCACCAGCATAATTAAATCTCCTCTCAACCCAGTTGTGCTAGGGATGGTCTGAACTGTAGCACAGTGCTGGGAAGCTGAGGGGGAGAAGCAAGACAGCACCTACAGAAACTCCTGTGGCTGAAGAGTGGTGGCAGGAGGGAGTCCTTTCTGCCTCTTTTTTTAAATGCTGTGATTTAATGGATGCTTTCTTGTCTCTCTGGTACACAAAGAAAAGTGTATGTGAGCAATAAGATGAAGAGACAACATGTCTTTTCAGCACAAGTGACATTAAATTAATTTATACAAGACACTGGTCAAAACCAGCTTCTACCAGTGAAAGCTCAAAGTGGGACTGAGCCTTTTTAAGGAGCTTTTCTTCTGCTTTCTGTTCACTTCACAGGACTGCTTCAGACAGAAATGCTTCTAACATTTTGAAGGCACACTACACAAGTACGATTGCTTTTAACATAAAAAGATCCATTTTGTTATAAGTATTTGCTTTTAGCAGCTCTGTTCCTTTGTGCATTCCTTTCCCAGGTAGAGTACAGGTGCTTCAGGGCAACTCTAAAGACAATTTTCAACAGTGGCTTAGAAACCTAACTACTGCTTTTCTAAACAACATGCCAGCTAACCAGACACACAGATGCCTGTTAGAATCAAGTTACTTCTGTAACTAATCTCATACAATAAACTCTCCCAGGCAGCTTATTTACAACCTGAGGGAAAAATACACCTTTGAAAATTGTTTTCTAAAGGTACTCTGGCTCACATTTCTCTGTTCGTGCTTGGGCTTTGTGGTATTAATTCTCATTTTTAAAAATGAGGGAGGTATCTAAGCTCAGGTTTCTAAAAGTACATAGGTGTGAATAGCTGCAGACGTGCACTGGTACGTCAGGCTTGCTGAAATCTGTACCTATGATTTGCAGCTCTCTATTTATCATTTACCCTTTGCTACTGTTGAAAGGAGCAATGCATAAAGACTTTGACAAAGCTGTTCCTAAGGAGCAAGATTACTTTAGAAGGTGATTTGAGGTTCTTAATTCCCTTAGAAATGCTCCACATTTTTTACCTCAGGTCTACAGAAGTGTTTGTGTATCACCTCAAACCACAAAGCCTGATTTTGATTAGACTGTGGGTACCACTGCTAGGTTATTGTTTTAAGATAGCATCATGGAAAAACTTCAGTTATAACTTAATTAATTCAAACACTATCATTACTTTTGAAAGGAAGCATTTTATCCAACCAAAGGATCACCCCTGAGTGACTGTATTTGTACTGCAGAACCACCACGGCTCTAGGGTTCAGCTAAGGTCTGCAGTCAAAGTTATTGCATTAACACTTATGTTATACTGCTGCCTACAGGTCCATATTTAAAATTAGGGTGTTATGCTAACTTATGTTTAAATAAGGCTCCTGTTCCAAAGCTTAGAAAACAAGCAAGATAAGAAAGGTATCAGAGAAGCTGAACCCATTTTAACTTTTCTTGGTTATATTTGTGTATGTAATTGAATGCATTTCTTCCACTGCCCTGAAGCCACTACAGAGGGGCTGGTTTTGCAGTAGAGCTGTGTATGGGAAAGCAACTTAAAAGGAAGAAAGGGATTATGGCATTGTGTGTATCAGGGGTGCTGTGGAGGAAAGCACAGCGATACCTAGAATGGCAGCCCTTCACATAACAGACAGGTAGGGATCTGATGATTTTTCCTATGGTGTTTGTTGCAAACTGTGATTTCCACTTGTGGAAACTGCACATTTTCTAAAGCAAACATATATATACTTTGAGGTTGGGCACAGACTATACAGACTGTCTTTTGCTAATTTGCAGTTTAAAGATCCTATGAATCTCAAGAGCTTGTCATGTTGTCTCTCACTATTATATTGAAAAAAACCAGTGACACGTGCCACACATTTTATCAAAACCAGAAAAATCATTCTTCCAGAGGCTGAAATGGAGAGTGGTAGTTTTCCTTTCCAGTTCACGTACATAGGTTTTTTTTGATAACTAACTTTAATTGCTACATACATATTTTGAATTTTAAAATATTTTCTGAATACAGGAAGAAGACATTTCAACTTAGTGCCTGTAGAGGAGCCAGGCATTTCTGCAAGCACTTCCTCTTCTCCTTTCAGAACTGATTGATCTTGGCAACTCAGGATGCTGCTGATTTCAGCTAAAGTAACAGCAGCTAAATGATTCTTCCATGTGCCATAAACTAGTCTATTTTTGCAAAAGGAAATTCCTTTATTTGAACAATTAGCAAACTGACATTTCCTAACATCATGTAAATTCATAGAAATGTTAGTATTTAGCACTCAACATCCTCTGCACCCTGGAGGCTGGATAAGGTATTAGTCATCTCTAATTAAAGTTGTCTTATGCCAGGCAGTCCCCAGTGACTGCCACAATACTGTTTCCTTTGTAATCGTTGGTCAATTTGTCGCAATATATCATCAGGATTACTGAATTATTGGTTATAATTACAGCTTCAGTGTCAATAGCAGTGTCACAGCAAGGGTAAGTAAACACTACAAAATTAGGAGGGATGGAAATACCTTTCTAGCAGCTACATCATATTAGTAGTACAGAGACCACCCACTGTAACAGTTAGGCACAATGATAAATTCCTACTTTGAGAAGGTGGAGTTGGATGTTTTCCCCTTAATGTACCGCATTCATCTCAGTGACATCCCCTATAAGTTCCTCTTTGATTCCTACCCACCAGCTGTGGAGCATGCGTGTTAGGTAGTTCAAACTAGCTAAAGCACATACAGTTTGCCAAACTCAATTTTACAGCTAACACTGTCAAACCATTTGCACAAACCATCCCCAAGGATGCACCTTCCAAAGGTCTATGAAAGGAACCTCCCAAATTCTGCAGCTCATTTTCCTATGGTGCTTCAGTCACCCTAAGTCCCATTTTCACAAATGGTCTGAGGGATCAGGAGCCCACAGCCTGTCAGACAGGCACCAATGCTTCATTCTCCAAGGGCCACCTTCTCAAGCAGTATTTACATTTGATTCCTGATATGGCTAGCAGGTTATGACCTCTTGAAGAATTCACCCCTTGTGTATTTTTGAGAATGGCGACACAAGGTCCTCTGTGGAAGAAAAGTTTGATAGAAGTGTCTACTGCTTTTCAAAAAAGAACATAGCATTTGCTGGTACTATTTTGACTAACAGGAGAGACACTTTTCAAAACTACTCGCAATTTCAAAGGATGCCTTAATATGGGGGGAAAAAAAGAAAAAAGAAGTATTTTTCTGCAGGTCAAATCCAGGACTTCCAGGGAATCCAAAGAAAAAATATTTCTGATAAGATATTTCAGGTTTTACTCTAAAGTCAAGGTATGTTGGGAAATGGCCTGAGAGTTCAGTGTGTGAAAACATGGCTTGTAAAGTTCAGCATATACTGCAAGAACCAAAATCTAAATAGGGAAGTTAGTCAGGCTTTTAACTTACCTGCCTAATCTCTAACCATGGACTCAAAGACTGAAGATGTAGCTCCATCTTTTAAATCAAGAAACAGGTCATTAAAATTCAGGCTGTACAACTAACATTGCACTCATTTAACAAAACAAGAGTTCAAAACATAAAAACTCCACATCAGAGGCATTTCTATAAACCACAAACTTAACGAACTATCTTCCCTCCATAGGTTTCAAATGAAACAGGCACAGAGGCTTTCTTTGGTACAGCCTAAGCTTGTTCAACCAGGTGTGGGTTTCAATTAAGTTACCCTTGTGCAGGAATGTGAAGTCAAAGATTTATAAACTGTTTGTTTGTTTTTTAAAAAATATGCCCGCAGTGGCCACACTGCTGAAACCAACAAGAATGGCTGCAGCAGCAACCCCGAGCCAACCAGTCAAGTCACAGCTCTACGTGCGTGCTTGTGGTCTGCTCTGACAGCCCATAGCCTGACTCAGTGGAAAAAATAAAAGTCTGTGGAAGCTCAGGCTACAGTGAGATGACAGGTGACTTCTGAGGAAAAAAACTACAGCTGTAGACCTACATCCTTTTCTGGAAATCTGGCTCAGTCATTTGTGGGAGAGAAGGTGTCGAGCAGAGCTGGCTGGTGACAGTGGAATAAGTCCATTCCAAAACTGTGCAGGTTTTCCAATTTTTTCATAGGGTCCTGAAATGAAAACAAAAACTTTTCAAATGGAAGGGTGTGGAATTGTGTTGAAACATCTATTTCTGAATTAGAGAGATCAAGTTTTCAATCAGGCTTTCAGAACATACATAACCAGAGACCTCAACCTGGGATACAGAAAACTCCTCATTCATCAACACCAGCACCTCTGCAAAATGTTTTGGCGACCAAGAGGCAGCATATTTTAGTTTAAATATATTTCATCAAACATGTTCTGACCAATTCGAATCTTGAGATGACATTGTGTCACCACTTTGTGGAAAGATCAGTCTTTTTAAAAAAACCTCGTAAAAATAAAGGACTGGAAAAGAAGCTGAAGAACAGCCAGTCACTCAAAAGACATTTGTCAGCAAAATTAAATATAAGTTCAGGCATATTCCATTTCATCACATACTGTTCCTTTTACGGGTGAGGCATTTAAGTAATTTCTCTATTTTGGAATGAGACTGCAAGACAAACAGTTTATCTTCAGCTTGGCAAAAGAAAGTTACATTAATGTCTATCAAGATGAAAGTGGTGCAAAACAGAATATTTTACAGCCTAAATAGTGACTCTGTTCTTCAGCTATGTATAAACCATTCTTCTCACAGGATGCAATCAAATGTCAGTGTCTTGATATGAGTTCCCAGTAATCTCAAAAATACAAACCCATGTACTTTATATATGTATGTGTATATACACACACACATATATCTAGTATATAGTACATATATATATATGCGTATATATATATATGTGTATATATATATATATATGTATATATGTATGTTTGCATGTACACACATACACAGACACAACCCACATCTGGAGTTCCACTAAAATATTTCTCCTACCTCCTCAATAACCACAGTTACAGTAATCCCTAGAAGGAACAGAGCAGGGCTGAGGTCAGCAGTCTCTGATCACCAGCATTTGTACAAAGTGATTTTATGTTTCATTTGTACTAGAGATGAATATCAAGTTAGAATTTTTGCTCATAAGAATTTTTAAGGAAGAAAAAAATGGAAGGTTGAAAGATTTGCCCAAAGGAAGGTTCAGGGAATAAATGAGATCTTATTTATCTTTTTCATTATTTTTGCAAGTTGGAAAATAGGAAGAAAATTATTAATGTTGTTCCTTACACCACTGTATTATCAGGGACACAAGAGAGTCTGTACTATATTCTTTCTGCTGAAGTTAAAAAAAGAGGGCAAACATACTGCATAAAATTCAATCCGCTCTTTAGTAAAAATATTATCACTGTTTCATTTTATGAATGTTACCATCTTTTAATCAAGATGATTTCAAACATGATGTACATTTTCCGTCAACTTTGAAACATGTTTCCATGAGAATTCATAGATTGTTTTTTTATTTATTTTTTTCACAAAATGTTTTTATTGAAACAAATTTCAGCCTATTCTAGTTTGCATTCTGGATTCTTTCAAAATTCAAATTCAAAACTTCAAAGCAAGCCATCTCCACAACCATTTCTTTTGTAGGATTTTGATCAAAGCCATGGAAATTCCTGGTTCCACCCCACAATAATGAACCAGCCCCGGTTTTATTTGAAATCCAGCTCTGAGGAGCTGACTTACCTATCTGGTTTGCAAGAATCCCTCTGTCTTCACCTGACCCAAGAGCATCTCCTCATAGCAATGTTCTCCTCCAACTGGAACACATCCACACTACACAGTCCCCATTCCCTCTATGTGGGGGGCACCAACGTTTGGCTGTCAACCTCCTGTTTACCAACCTTCTCCAAGATCATAAAGCTCCTTCTTTCTGCATCCTGAAGATCAAGGTTTTTTTTAACAATTCCCTAGATAGCTGTGTTTGCCTAAAGAGACCCTCCCACTGCTCTTTTATCCTCTGAAGGCAGGCCAATTTTCAACTACAGCCTGATGGTTGCCTGGGTTAACCTCTGCTTTGTTTCATGAGGCTTAGAAACCCCAATACATCTTTCAAATGGCATGTCTGATCACCCTACTCTGGGAGATAAGCAAAAAATTAGAATAAGCTTCTCCAGGTAAGCACCAGCATGAAGGTACCATCATTTTCCAGGGGGAATGCCTGGCAGGTTAGGAGATCAGTTATGATTGGGAGACAGAAAAGGCAGCTGTGTAATAGCACAGTAACAACACTGTTTCAATGCTTTTGAAAGGCAAGGCTGTGGTGTTGCATAATCACAATGTTTCCTTCTATAGGGAATTTGGGACAAATATCTTGACAGCACTTTTAACACTTAAATATTGTATGGAAGACATTTAGGTGGCTGTTGAAGATGACATCACTCCTACCTTGTTCTACTCAGCTTATATTCAAGTATTCTAGATTTCAATTTTCATGTTTCAGTTCATGTCCTTTGTCCTGTAAGTTTTCCTATTATTTGTAGGATTTCTATCATGCCAGTAGCCTCTTCCTCCTCTCTACCAACTGTAACTACACTTCAAAGCCCTGTGCAATAACAAAGGCAAAACCTGTGAGTTACTTCAACTTGTTTCCTTCATGTTTGTTCACGTCCAAATGCAAACTTCATTGCACAGAAAAATTCAGGTCTTGTAGTTGGTCCAGGCTGCTGTCACCAACTAAATTGTCCTTTGAGTGAGGGGTGACAATCCAGAGCAGCCATCTGAGCTTTCCTAACTGATTCTGAAGATCTAATTATTCCTCTGAACACCTGGCTTTCCTGGGGCAGAAGTAACCCTTCCTAAACCTGGATGTATTCAAAATGAGTACAATTGAAAGAAAAAAGAAAAAAACCCCAAACCAACCAACCAAAAAAAACCAACCAAACAAACAAAACCCCACCACAACTTTTACCTGTGTTTTCCAGTGATTTCTTTTTTTAACTACAAAAACACAGGAGTTCAGAATTCACCACCAAATTCCCACTCCTTAGGACTTTATTCTCTTGTGTGTCTTTCACAGCTTTCCTCCAAATCCTAAGTAGACATTTAACCATCTCCTGCTTAGCTCAATGGGATTTAGGCTCCTTTGTACTGACAGCAACTAAGCTGCTCAGATTTGTTCCACGGAGTGTCTCGCAAAAGAAATTGTTTCAAGGTGTACAATGCATTTGCTGCCTGCTGCTGTTGGCAGAGTAAAACTGCCACAGAGCCATGCCAGGGGAAGGAAGAAATAAAATCCCCTTGGGAAAGAAAAGAACACACAGGTAGAGAAGGGGGAGGGGGGTGGGAGGTGTTGGGTCCCCCCTCCAACCTAGCCCTCATTTTGAAATAAGATGAACTTGTTGTTGGCACAGGGTTTGGCCAATCTTGCTGATCCTTCTATGTGTACCCTTACATCCCTGTACATGGATGACTTTCACACGCTGAGGGTTGTTCCTTGCTGTTCTGAGCCTTTGGTGTGAGACCTCCTTGTCAACAAGAGCAGTGGCTCTTACTCCACTTCCTGACAATTTGCTGTCTAATGGCATGTCAAGTGAGGGCACCCAAAAGCCCTCAGTGTTTGGGAACACGAGTGACTGTGCAGAAGCACAGCCTTCCTGCAGACATCTACATGGCTGGGGGAAGAGGGGGAGGCCTGTCCCTCGTTCCCAACCTGAAACGTGCCGAAGTGCTTTCTCACCCTCATTGATTTGTTGATACCCATTTATGGTACAAGAAATTGGACTGCAGACCTTGAGGCAACAATTTTAAAATCTATTAAACCCCTGCTTACCCCCATGCAGCCAAATCTGCCTGGAGTGTGCTGAAACAGTTTTGAAAGGAAGGGAAGCCAGGTGGGGGCAGTAAGACGTGCGATGGAGAGCAAAAGCCATGAAAAAGGCCTGAAGCCTGCCAGTATTTCCCTTGATCCCAAATCTTAAATCTTCTGTTGTACCTACCATTTCCCCAGGATATTTTTCTCCAGCTAATGCAGCAGGTATACCCATGCTCACATTATAGTAGCAGAAACCAAATGAGAATCCAAATTTAAGAGATCTAAATGTTAATGCAATAAAATGGCTAGATACACAATTTTATTTTGCTTTGTTAATTTTGGGGTCATACATGTATGAAACTTCCTCTTCTATAACTTCTTTCACAGTCTCCCACAGAGCTGTCCTGCAGACAATCCCAGCACTAACAAAACAGTGCTGTCCTTTCGGAATGACAGCACCAATTCTTGTCACTCCTTTGCGTGGGTGCCTAAAACAGGCACTTTGTCTCTCAAGCCATCTTTTTTTTTGTCACTCTCAAAAAATATTGCACCTTCCAAAGAATAAGATTGAGTATCAAAAAGGGATACTCCCTAACAGATTTTACAGTTCACTTTAGTATACCATGGATTAAAAAAAATACGGTTTTTCTTACCTGTTTTATTGAATAGACTTTTTCAAACTATTTCAATGGAGCCTTTGCCCCAGAGAAACTGTTAGTTCCAAACCACAGTTTTAGGCAACAAAGCTCACTAAAAGACAGAAAAAAAATAACACTAAGGTTACAGCTGGTTTATACACTAGGTATATTTTCCAGCTAAGTTCTCTTTCATTTGATAATACAATGTTTCATTTTGAAGCAAGTTCTACTTCTTCTACTCAAAAAGTGTTACCCAATGTCACATAGAGACTATATTTTTTAAATATTAATTCACAGCATTTATTTTAAGGACATGTTTATAGAGGTTGAAAGGAAGTTCAGATAAAGCTGCTGCATTGTGGCAATATATGAAATGAATTGTTTTAATAGGAAAGAAGTTGGAGATAATCTCTCGGCCCTGTTTCCTCTACTGGTTAAACCCCGTTGGTCATGTCTGTGAGAGCAATGCTGGGCACTTTTGTTTATTTTTCTTTAACTGAAAATTTTTAACCCTGAAAGTAAAGTTGAAGGAGAAGAAACTAGTCCAAGGGGCTTCATGCTATGCCAGCAGGTGTCCTTTTCCAATTGCAGATACCTCGGTAAGCAAGTAAAGTGATGATATTTGCCTTTCTCCCTGAATTTCTGTGTTCCATTTGTTGTAGCCACCATCAGTAAACAGCAGATTGGCTTTGCTATGTA